CCTCCCCCTCTCGGGGACCGGGCCCAAGGCCCAGCGTGCCATCCTCCCCCACCCCCACCCTGCTGGTGGTTGGGAGTGAAGCATGATGTGGCCATGCAGCGCTCCGTTTGAAGGTGGGCAGAACAAGTTCTTCCAGAGTTTCCAGAAGTAGTAAAGTCATTATAAAAGAGATTTAAAGAAAAAGGGTATAAGGACACAACCCTATTTTTGTGCTGCTGGAAATTAATTAGTGTACTTCAACAGAAGACTGTTCCCATGGATCAGGACTCCTGCTAGTTTTCAGCACATTAAAAGGAGGTGGAATGAACTACACTCGTTGAATATCTCCTCATTACTGGTTGGATTCATTTGTAAAAGAATTGTTTTCTCCTGTGTGGAGGCCACTTCGTGGCATATCTAATTATAAATCCAGGGTTTGCAAAGCCTTTTGATTTCCTGAAGGAGGGACATACCACTTTATCAAATAAGCTTGACAATACAGCCAAAATGGTGCTGTCCCAGAGACAACAAGATGAACTAAATCCAGCTATAGCAGATTATCTTCGTTCACATGGCTATGAAGAGGCATATTCAGTTTTTTAAAAGGAAGCTGAATTAGATATGAATGAAGAATTAGATAAGAATGTTGGTCTTTTGGAAAAAAAATGGACATCTGTTATTAGATTACAAAAGAAGGTTATGGCATTAGAATCAAAGCTAAATGAAGCAAAAGAAGAATTTCCATCAGGTGGTCCTCTTGGTCAGAAACAAGACCCAAAAGAATGGATTCCCCGTCCAGCAGAAAAATATGCACTTAGTGGTCATCAGAGTCCAGTCACTCGAGTCATTTTCCATCCTGTGTTAGTGTTATGGTCTCTGCTTCAGAGGACACTACAATTAAGGTGTGGGATTATGAGACTGGAGATTTTGAACAAACTCTTAAGGGGCATATGGACTCTGTACAAGACATTTCGTTTGACCGCAGTAGCAAGCTTCTGGCTTCCTATTCTACAGATATGACCATTAAACTATGGGATTTTCAGGGCTTTGAATGCATCAGAACCATCCATGGCCATGACCACAATGTCTCTTCAGTAGCCATCATGCCCAATGGAAATCATATAGTGTCTGCCTTAAGCAATAAAACTATAAAAATGTAGGAAGTGCAAACTGGCTACTGTGCGAAGACCTTCACAGGACACAGAAAATGGGTACGTATGGTTCGGCCCAATCAAGATGGCACTCTGATAGCCAGCTGTTCCAATGATTAGACTGTTCACGTATGGGTTGTAGCAACAAAGGAATGCAAGGCTGAGCTCCAAGAACATGAGCATGTGGTAGAATGCATTTCCTGGGCTCCAGAAAGCTCATATTCTTCCATCTCTGAAGCATCAGGATCTGAGACTAAAAAAAGTGGCAAGCCTGGGCCATTCTTGCTGTGTGGATCTAGAGACAAAACTATTAAGATGTGGGACATCAGTACTGGCATGTGCCTTATGACCTTTGTGGGTTATGATAACTGGGTACATGGAGTTCTGTTCCATTCTGGGGGGAAGTTTATTTTAAGTTGTGCTGATGACAAGTCCCTATGCATATGGGATTACAAGAACAAGCGATGCATGAAGACCCTCAGTGCACATGAACACTGTTACCTCCTTGGATTTCCACAAGAGAGCCCCCTATGTGGTTACTGGCAGTGCAGATCAAACAGTAAAGGTGTGAGAGTGCCGTTGAGTGAGTCTCATTTGGCCCCTATTCCCTTTTTTCCTCTGGATGCACTCTGATGATACCATGGTTACCCCATTGAGCTCTGTTTAAAGAAATATTGTCCTTTCACATAAATTAAAAATAATAATAAATAAAAATTAAAAAATAAGTTTAGAACTCCACACTTACTATTGGTACTAATAAGTTAATATTTAGGATCTGTGCCAGGCATGGTGGCACATGCCTGTAATCCTAGCACTCAGGAGGTTGAAGCAGGAGGATTGCCATGAGTTCAAGGCCAGCCTGGGCTATATAGTGAGTTCAAGGCTAGCCTGAATTACATAGCAAGACCCTGTTTCAAAAAGAAAGAAAAATTAGGATCTGGTATAACATTGAATAGCAGAATAAATGCTGAAATTCCAGTGCTTCCTTGTTCATATAAGTTCTTTTTACTCCTGCTGTCATTAAACACTCTCCATGCTAGTCATTTTCCACTCTTCCCAAAAAGAAGATGAAAGGAGGTTATCAATTCCCAGCATCCAGTAACAATTAATGGATGTGTCCAGGAAGAAGTCTAGGCTTTTTTAGATTTTTGTAAAAAAAAATAGAAAAGAACATAATTTTTTTGCCTGAAACAGGGTCTCATTGTGTAGTTCAGGCTGGCCTTGAATTCACTATGTAACCCTGGCTGGCCTCAAACTCACAGCAATCCTCCTGCCTCTCCTCCTAAGTGCCAAGACTACAGGTGTGTGCTACCACACCCAGCCTAGAAAGTAAATTTAAAATAGTTTAAATAGCTAACTTGTTGGTGATGTTTATATGATGTGTTATACATATGTACAATAATACATATATATATATATATATATTGGGGGGGTACTGGGGATCGAAATCAGGACCTTGCACTTGCGAGGCAGGCAGTGGCACCACTGAGCTAAATCCCCAGCCCTATTTTTGTTTTTGGGTACCGGGGATCGAACTAGGGACCTTGCGCTTTCGAGGCAGCCAGCAGAACCACTGAGCTAAATCCCCAGCCCCCTATTTTTTTTTAAACAGTCTCACTATGTAGCCCAGGCTGGCCTTGAACTCTCAAGGATCCTGCCTCAACCTCCCAAGTGCTGGGATTACAGGCATGCCACACCCAGCTATTGGTTAAATTATAATAACTCTTATTTAGGGACTTAAATTTCAATCACTGCTCCCTGAAACATGTATTGAGAATATTACTTAAGATACAAATAATCATTGTCCATGAAAACAAGAGCTTATTAGGAAAATGGCACATCATTACAAACATGGCCCTCACTGCCATGCTGTTCTCAGGGGCCTATTTGCTGAATGTCAGTTGCCTTAGTGTTTATTTGCTGCCCCTCAGAACCACCAAAGCAAAATTTGCTGCTGTGCAGCGGGTGAATGGCAGAACTCCATTCAAATACCCTGGCTGGGCACTGAAGGAGAAGTAACAGCAGTAGGGAACAGTCTGTCTGTCAACATGGTTCCAAGTTATCAGTCCCTCATCTGTAAAAACATTCAATAATTTAGCTGTCTATTCCACTCCATCCATGGAATATAGTCAAAAGTGCAGGTTGGGAAGTACTACAAAGAATCAACAACTGGGATCTCATTTTATTAAAAAGTTTCTGCACAGAGAAACCACAAACAGAGCTAAAAGACAGCCCACAGCATGGAAAAAAAATTTTTATTAGCTGTTCCTCAGAGAAAGCACTACTATCTAGAATA